CGTTTTTGTCCGCCAGTCTATCTCTCAGTTGATACACGTGTTCTTTTTCTTTTGCATGGTATACTTTTGTGTAATCGGAGTCTTTGTTTGTTTACCTATTACCATTATCGATGTGAATGATTGCCAACTATGAAATGTATTTGATTTTATGCAAAACAACACAATGTGATTATAATTGTAATTCTATATTTATTCTAGTATTTATGATTATCTGCTTTTTTTTCATTTCTCTAAAATTCTGCAATTGTTCTTTCCCTTTTTTGCTTGTACTTTTGAGCTTTGGTCGCAAACAAGCCCACCAATAAAAGCTGTTCTATCGATCAAAATAAAAAGTCGGTTCCCAAGTCGCAATAAAGTTTGCAACATTTTCGATTAAGTTTTGGAAGTTGAAAAACAGCGGTTTATCGTTTGAAAAATCTTCACCATAAAGACGCACTGCTCGAATTGAAGAAAGTGTTTCGTTCTGTGGGGTTAATTAGTTTTTTGGGATTTGACAAAAATTTTCAAAAATTTCATTAAATGTCGTGTTTTTTTATTTTTATATAATTTGGTTAGAACCAATCTCTGAATTTTCTTTTAGTATCCTGAATTTCCTCTTACTCTTCGAGACATAATCAGCCCGATCAATGTTACAAATAGCTGATTTGGCCACTCAGGAGCTCAAAAGCCTCTGAACCTATTGTCCAAATATATTGAAACAAATATATTTAAACAATTTTGTTCTTTCCAGACACAATTTATTCGAAACCATTTTCCTTTTATTTAGAAATATACTGTTCGATAAATATTTCAAATAAGCACAATTTGGTAAAGTCCATGGAACCTCTTGATTTTATGGATTTCAAAGGCTTTTGCTACAATTTCCAACCAATACAGCTCTATTTTAGTATTTCATTATCATTAGGTCGTTTAAATCCTCTCAATGAATACTCTGTGTAAGCAATTCTATCCAGCCAAATTAAACGTCGTTAATAAAACAGAGCATGGTAGAAGGCTTTACCAAATGGACCTTGTTGTCAAATTTTGCTTCGTACATACTTTGTCCTGCAGTGATAACATCGGGAAAGAGGTAATCTATATTTTTTACTAAACGCTCTTACTTTTATTACATATATATTTGACTGGCCATTTTAGATATCTAGCTTCTTTTTATATAGAGGGTATTTTAAATTCTTCGGAGGTCCCTTAATCAGCATAATAGTTTGCATTGTTTCTGATTGGTATTGAGAATGATTTCTATCAGTCTACATTTTCGTATAGCTCCACATAATGGAACACTTGGATATTCGGTATTTCGATGATTTGAGCTTAATTTTCCTCGGAATTACTTTAAATTTCGTATTTGAAACTGGTAATAGCTAAAAACCTCAATATTAATTATTAAAAAAGGAATTAAGAAAATAAGAAGTAAAAAAGCTATATGTTCGGCCGGGCCAAACTTTGAATACAATCCACCATTTGGAATGAATTTGGCAATTCTCAAAAGCAATAAAATCCGTTGAAAATTCTGTTAAGATCTTAAAAATACCGAATGGAGCTGTTATATTAGGTTCTATACGACGGTTTGGTCCTGCATAAATAACTATTGTCATAAGCCATTACATTATTCAAATGCGAAACTTAAAAAAAATTCTGGTGAATAATGTAGCTAAAATCATCAAAATACCGAATATCGGGGGGGTACTGTTATATGGGGGCTATACGAAGATGTGGACCTGCACAGACAATTTTCTGTCTTAGGCTGTAGTATCCATTACGAACATTAAATACCAAATTTGAAACAATTCCGGTGAATAATGTCGTTAAAATCATCAAAATACCGAATATCGGGAGGTACCGTTATATGGGGACTATACGAAACATGGACATTCACAGACAATCAACTGTCATAGGCTGTAGCATCCATTACGAACAATACCAAATTTGAAAAAATTTGAGTGAATAATGTCGCTAAAATCAACAAAATTCCGAATATCGGGAGGTACCGTTATATGAGTGCTATACCAGAACGTCTACCTGCACAGATAATTTTCTGTCTTTCTGTAGTATCCATTTCGACCTTCAAATACCAAATTTGAAACAATTCCGGTGAATAATGTCGTTAAAATCATCAAAATACCGAATATCGGGAGGTACCGTTACATTGGAAATATGGCAAAACGTGGACCTACATGGCCCAATTTCAATACCAAAAGTCCTGCAGCCCTAATATACATTTGAGTAAAATTTTATCAATCTACTTCATTTCGTTAGGAAGCTAGAGTGATTTCCACAGACGGACAAACGGATAGACGGACGGACATCACTAAATCGATTAAATTTTCTTATGCTAATCAAGAGGTGTTACAAACGGAATGAAAAACTTAATATACTCTCCATACTATGGTGGAGAATATAAAAATATAAAATAAACAAAACCAAGTGTTGTTTTTTATAAGTCTATTTGACACTGTAAAACTCCGGTACAGAACTGCATTTTTATAGTTTGCTTCAAGTTGAGCACCCTTTCTTTTTGAGTCATGATTGCACACATACATTTTGAAGACTTTTCACTGGAATTTATACTTTTACACCAGGTATCCAGGGTATTAAAAGTTCCGCACTGCCGAACTTAACATTATGTTATTTGTTTCCGATCGAAACTCCTGTTTGTATGATCCAAACCTATTGGTAGTCGCCAACAACACAAATATATTGAACTCCGTGGAGGGTTTCAATTTCAGTCCCTTCATGATCGATGATTCGTCGGTAAATTTCCTAGCTCCAGTTTTTTTGTTTAGTTTTAGTTATGGAGGCATATGTCCCTGTTTAAGCAAGGAACAGCCATTTCACTCAGAGACTATTATGTTAATTCCAACCAGAAAAGAAGAAACATGGGAGAAGAAGACTGCAAATAAAAAAAAGTGTGGCGGTAGAATAGTTTACCGTCGAAAGAGCGTAGTAGGAAAAAAGAGCGATCCGAAATTGAGGGCATCCAAACAAAATGTACTCATTTTAACTATTCTCTTTTATATTCCATAGCCTACAATATTTTATATCACCAATTCTCAATTGCTGGACACTTGCGAGAGATCAATATGTGATATTGGCCAATGAAAACTTCTCAGAATTTTCATCTAGGCTTGACTAAAGTGTAGTGGGAACAGAGTAGTTCTAAAAGAAGAATATATGATTGACCTTCATACCTTATCCCCTACACAAATTTTCATAACTTCCTCGCTGTAAGATTAATTGGGATTATTTATTTATTTGAAGATTGCCCAGAACCCATCATTACCATCACATCTATCATCTCAAAATCCTTTAATATTGTAAATATTTCCGATAGGAAAACATGACATTGTTAAGCTTGTATTAGAGTTAATAGATCCTCTTGCTCGTCTCTATATTCGAACTATTCTATTGTGGGGAATGCGAGGGTATATGAAATTTCCGCATTCTGGAACCTTTGTAAAACACTATATAGGGTGATTTTGATGGCCATTGTGCGCTGGAAATGCAGCGATCGAGTCGCTTCTTTACTTTTCGAACCATTTCTGTTGATGTTGCTGTTTTTTTCGTCCACTTCCTTGACGTCGGGCTACGCTACCAGTATCACGGTAACGAGCGATGGTACGAGACACAAAAGATTTATTCACATTTAAAAAAATCACACTATCACGCTTGAATTCCATCACGAATACCTTTTTTTCTGGAAAATTCTCACCAAAAGCGTTTGGTACACTTGTAAACAATATAATGAGATGTCACTGGAATAATTTTAACAGCTGTCGGACGAGTGGCTTAGAAATGACAACAGTGTAAAGTTGGTTGCAGTTTTTTCATATCACCCTGTAGATTCCCGACGCCTAAATCTCTTGTAAAATATCTAAAGAATCATAGATTCATAGATCTCCGATAAAGTCATTGCGTTACCATTATCCGAATACCTATTGGATCTTTAACGATTCAGCTCGATATAATGTAGGTGACAACAAATAATCCAAAACTAACTGAATGGACTCAAGTTTCACATTGTCGAAGGCTCCATCAAAGTCACGATGATGGCCGGTCAATATATTTTCTAAATTCGTGTGGAGATGTTTCATAAAATCTACGATTATCTGTCATAAATAACATTTTTTGTTGAAAGCCGACACCTCTCTCCCCATATTTATCCGTGTGGCATTTTGTAACATTTTGAAACTTGTTGCATACCGACGAAATGTTGTAAACCAGCACAGCTGTTTTCAACATTCACAATTTTTTTTTTTTTGTTTACATTGCTAAATAGTTTTAGTTTTTCAAAATGTTGTATTCCACTACAACAATTGTGTTTTCTACTTTTATTTTTTTAGTCAATTGACCTTAACGCTGACTACTTACTGCCCAGTATGGTGGTAGTTGAAACTCAAGTTTTTTTTACTAATTGTTATCACTTTGCTAACGTTGTTGTTGTTTTGTCTTGGTTTAATTGTTGCTAAAAGGTAAATTATATTACTCTTAATTTATGTTTTATGTTAAATTAGAGAACAACAATTCAATTTTGTTGAACATTTTGGGCTTGTAGATTTGTTGCTTTTAAATTTTATATGTGATTTGCAATTTTAGGTTAGGTATAGGCGGCGCTCCGACGTCCTTGGACATATTATGTGTAACTGAAAATATTAAATGAAATAGTAACCCAAAATAGACTAGCTACGACAGAAGCTGCAATTTAAAAATTTTATATTTCCTAGGTTGTCTTTATATATGTTTTAACAGTATTCGGCAGAAAAAAAATTGTGGAAAATGTCTTTAAAAAATTCTTCCAATTATTCAAATGTATTTTTGGAAATAATCTCTTTTTATAGAAACCCTTTTAATACGGCAGAATTAATTTTGTCGGAGTACTACTCTCTCATAAGATGAATAAACACTTGATAAATATGTGGATCATTTATTGAATTTATTAATAACAGAAGAATTGTAAAATAAATTATTAAAATACAGTTATTAATTTTTGTATTTTCATTTTGCAGATAATTATAAGCAGAGGATAATACATAAAATACTAAGAACAAAAGAAGAACAGCAACAACTACACATTTGAATTATTAAAACCGTTCCGCCGCCAGCCCAGCTTCTCAAAGGATTTACGCCGCTCTAAAATAAAGGAAGAAAACTACAAACACCTAATTAACAAACAACAAAAAGTTGTTATAAAAATAGAAAAATATTTGGACACCAAGTGGAAACAAACGAAGGTAATAAACGTTGTCATATACTTAAATTGCCTCTCCATTAATATGTATTTTTTTTCTTTTTGCAGAAACTTCAACAGAGAGGGAAACTCTGGTCACTTTACTTTATTGCAAGAACGCTCTAGCAGCGGTATCCTAAAAATAGTCCTTTTCACACAAATCATTGCCTCCCCGCCCTCCCATCACATATAAATATCTACCCCGCACACACACACAAACACAGACAACACAATGGAGTTACGTGTTGGCAATAAATATCGTCTTGGACGTAAAATTGGCTCCGGTTCCTTTGGTGATATCTATTTGGGCACAACAATCAACACAGGCGAAGAAGTTGCCATCAAATTAGAATGTATACGCACTAAACATCCCCAGCTACACATTGAATCGAAATTCTATAAAATAATGCGCGGCGGCATTGGTATACCGCGCATCATATGGTGTGGCAGTGAGGGTGATTACAATGTTATGGTCATGGAACTTCTCGGACCCTCACTCGAAGATCTATTCAATTTCTGCAATCGTCGTTTTACACTGAAGACCGTTTTGCTGCTGGCCGATCAAATGATATCGCGTATCGATTTTATACATTCACGTGATTTTATACATCGAGACATAAAACCAGACAACTTCCTAATGGGCTTGGGAAAGAAGGGAAATTTGGTGTATATAATTGATTTTGGTTTGGCGAAAAAGTTCCGAGATTCCAGATCGATGAAACATATACCGTACCGGGAAAACAAAAATCTAACGGGCACAGCACGCTATGCCTCCATCAACACACATTTAGGTATCGAACAGTCAAGGCGTGACGATTTAGAGTCGCTGGGCTATGTATTGATGTATTTCAATTTGGGCGCCTTGCCTTGGCAGGGACTGAAGGCCGCCAACAAACGACAGAAATACGAGCGTATTTCCGAAAAGAAACTATCAACCACCATCGTGTCCCTGTGTAAAGGCTTCCCTAGTGAGTTTATTAACTATTTGAACTACTGCCGGCAATTGCATTTCGAACAGCGTCCCGACTACTGTTATCTACGCAAAATGTTCCGAAATCTGTTTCATCGCTTGGGCTTCACATATGATTATGTGTTCGATTGGAACCTATTGAAATTCGGTGGCCCAAGAAATCCACAAGCATTACAACAAGCCCAAGATGGCAATGGCCAACAGACGGCCCAAGAGGGCAACGGTCCACAGACACAGCAGCAACAACAAACGGTCGCCCAACAACAACACCAGCACAATCAAAATCAAATTCCCAGTGCTGTGGCCACAGTTGGCGGTAGTGCAACCCAACAGCTGTTGAGCACTGGCGGTGCTGGCGGTCAAACATTGGTGAGCAGTAGCGGCGGTGGCATAATGGGTGCAGGCTCCCAAATGCTGGTAGGTGGCGGTGGAAACGGTGGTCTCACAATGGACGATTCAATGGCAGCCACAAATTCATCGCGCCCTCCCTACGATACACCTGAACGTCGCCCCTCGATTCGCATGCGCCCTGGCGGTGTTGTACAACCGGGCGGCGTTGTAGCCGATATACGAAATGCAAAATAATATCTTATCTTTTAGATTTCTATCAAAATCTATCTATAATATTTTAATATTATATGTCGTTTATCTATCCCTCTATACTTGCGCGTCTCTAAATTTAGACACATCGTCGTGGTGGCGGCGGCAACGGTTGCGGTGGCCGCCACTTATAGAATACAGTCACACGCAAAACAACGAGCGAGCAAGAGCAGCGTGTGTGTGCGTTTGCCTGCCTTCGGCGTCTGTTGTCTGTTGTGAGCAAAAGTGTGTATGTCATGGCTCCTACTTTTGTCCCTTGCCCCCCACTTCAGCCCTTTGTACTACTCCCTCTGCCCCGCCACAAAATGAAACACACTCACACACACTAAACAAACATACAACCACACATTTAGCTTGTAGTAAACTTGTATATTTTTAGATGTTTTTATTAATTTCATTATTAAAAAAGAAAGAAAACAAAACGCAATTATAAGTTTTCCCCTTTTTTTCTTAGAATTTAAAAAAGAGAAGGAAAAAATGAGAGAAAAACAAATCATTTCATAATATTATTCATAATATATAACAATAACGTTCATACAACTAAATGAAGAAGAATTAGTTTTGTGTTAAATTATTAATGAAAATGCAATTAGTTATTATATTTTGTTTAAACAAAAAGAAAAAAGAGAAAGCTAAAATATGTAAATGTAAAAAGTAATGGCCACACATTTATGCGGGGAAATTTGTGTTTTTCAAACTTGCCACGATTCTGCCATTGACGCCAATTCCCAATACACGGGTTGATTATTATTTTTTGAAGTAAAGATTTAATGTAAAAGAACCTGAGCAGAGCAAGTTTTGAAAATCCAAACCCCCAGCAGCTATAATATACGACTCTATATTTAGTTCGTATTTTTTTAGTTTTTCATTTTTTTCTTTTTTCAAACATATTTCTCTCCCTATTTTTAAACAAAACAAAAAACTAAATTATATGTAATTAAATGCTTTAATTTGAAATGAACAGAAATAAATCTTAAATTATAATAAATAAAACAAAATAATATATACAACTCTTTTATATGATTATTGTAATTTTATACAAATAAATGAAGTTTATCCTAAAAAACAAACAAAACCGAAAAACAAACTAAACATCCATTCAAACTATTTTTTACATCCTCATTTTTCGCTAATAAGAATGCCACGCCTTCTTTGTGTGTAGTTATTTCCGCAACAACATAACAAAAGTAATCAAATTTGTTTTTCAGTTTTCATATTTTAATTTTCAAAATAGTGGAGTTTAGCAGCAAAAAAATTTTTTTTTTTTTCAAGAAAACATAATTGAGATTTATTCAAAAATGCGCAGGGGACGTTTTCTCATACATGTTCTTAAACAAAAATATTTTAATATATTTTTTTTTTTAGATTTTTGTTCTAGTTGATTTCATTCACTTACATATATATATTTCATATATATATTTTATTGATTTTTTTCTGAAAATCTCAATGATGGAATGGTATTTTGAAATAAACAAATAAAAGTAGTGAAATAAATTCAAATTTACTTGAAATACTCCTTCATCGACTGAGTTCATTCTGTTACCAAAATAGAAATGCTACATATGTCTCTTTGAATTAAAGAATTCCCATGTAGAGCATAGGAAACAATTCCATAATGCATTGTTTTGTGCTTTCAAATTTCCACTCCAGGTTGATTACTACAAAATCTGCCAATTAAACGTATTTTGGATGTTGTACAAATTTATAAGGGCAGTTGTGGATCAATGAAGATATTGACAACCCTTTGCTGATTAAATTCATAGTCGTCAAGTGACTCAAACCCGAAATCTTAAAATCATTCAAGGAATATAACTTATTAATTAGTTTCCAAAATTAATTTACATAGTATTTGGAATTGGAATATTACTCAACTACAGCATTTCATTGTTAATATATTGATTTGTCTGTAAAACAGATTCTAGGAAAATGGTTTGAAGTTAAGGCGTATCTAAAGGAAATTTTTAGACGACATTTTTATCTCTTTTTCATCTTCACTCAGTTTACTCCACAAAAATTTTAATTGTTCATAAAAAGAATATGAGGATATTTTTCAACCTTACTGCAGACAATTTTGAGGAGTCTTAGTAACACTGTATTTCTATCTTCATCCCCAAAGCCAATAAATTATTATTCCAAAGTGTAACAAGAGAATATATAGAAATATTATTTCTTATTTGCTGATCCTTTTGTTTTTTTTAGCAACATACAGATTTTATTCAACATCAAAAGTAAGTGAAATACATACAGCTATTTAGACTTAAAACCCAAACAAATTAACAAAGTATGAAATATGTAAAACAAACGCAAAAAATGAACAACCAAATCTATAGTTTATAGGCAGAACAACATAAATATACAAATCAAATCAAAATAATTATAAAAAAGAAAATAAATGTATTTTGTTTTGGGTTAACACAATATTGATAGCCAGAATCTTTGTAATTTGTTCCCTTGAGTTTTAATCCTTAAATCAATTCCTTATTTCAAGGAGAGAACTATAATGGAGAAAAATGAATTGGGTTTTAAATGTTTTTTTTTTTTTCAAATTCAAAGGGAATGGTTTCAAGTTTTACTTATACCATTTAGAACTATAATTCTATTAGGTCCAGAGCGAGTTATTGATACTTGGATTTGTTGTATAAAATATATATTTCATATCATATTTTTGAATTGAAATATATATGGATTTTATTGTGCGTAGAAGTAGTACATTTTAAGGCTGGCGTTAAAGAGTACCGAAATGTAAAAAACAGTAACAGTTTTATGAAACTGAAATCCAATGCTTTGGTCCTAATATCAACTACGAGCTGTCGTGGTTTATCAAAAAGAAGCAATCGTTCACACCTACAAACACCCAAAATAGTTTGAGTAACACTGCCTCTTACTGATTTTTTGGAAAATATATTGTAAAAAATAAATTTCCAAGTTATAGTAGTAGACTTGTTTGGAAAGAAAAGGATCCAGATCTTCTTCGGCAACACATACCTTCAAGTGCTAAAATTTTAAATAGTTCTAAAAATTTAGTAGGTCAATTTATAAAGATCTACGGCATATCTTTAAATTTTGAATTTGTTTTCTATTTCGAATAACAATTTTGAATAAATGCTAACACTCTACTTTAGACTGAAAACCTACAGGTTTGGGGCTAGATTTTTGATCTATGATAACGTAAAATACCCTCAGACTTTCAACTTGTATTTTAAAGATACACTTTCGCTTCATTTAAAATATCCTCTATCTTCCATAGATTAGACTTATTTTGCAGCTTTTTAAAAGAAGAGAGCTCTAAGAGGTATTAAATAAAATAAGACCTGCCAAACTCTCTTTATAAATGGAATGCCTTCCAAAGAAGTTTCTGCATTTTTGGAGTTATTTTATAGTTAAGGATTCTAAATAAGAAACAGCATTGAAAATTTTAATTATTTAGATTAGATAGATTAACTATACAAAAGATTTCTCATCTACAGGACTTCTTTCAATCGAAAACCTAATTCAAAATATGACATAATTTCCCATTTATGGTTCTCTCACTTCCCTTCCCATAATTCTGTCAAGTACTACATTTAGTTCTTTAATTGTGAGATAATGAAAAAAATCCTAACTTATAAAAATAAAACATAAAAAAAGGAAAACAAACATAAAATTTATATATGCAATATTTGCAATAAAACAAAACAAAAAATAATATATATGTAGAAATGCAACAACTCACAAATTTACTAATTATATGAAAAAAAAACAACAACAACCAAAACTGATAAATATATAAAACAAAACAAATATATGTTTAAGGCGAATACAACAACAAATAAGTATAATATAGTTAGCGTAAAAAAGTAACAAGCAAAAAAAAACTGAAAAGGGAAATATTCAATGATAAAAGAAAAAACATTTAAAAACTTTATAAAACAACATAATTGCTTATATACGAAAAACAACAAAAAAGAGGAAACAAATAATATATTTAAATAACAAAACACAACAAAAACATAATTATGAAATACCTACAAATGTTTTATAAATATATTTTTAAGGTCATCATCCTAAATCCATCATAAACCTAAATCTTTGTAAGGCATATTTAGTTAAGTTTTTTTTTTCGTTCTTGCATTGTCTTGTGTTTTCCAAGAATGGAATGTTATTGCAGGCTTATTATATTGTTTCCTTCAATACAATGATGCCTGCATTGATATTCCATTACCAATTTATCATTTAATACATTGTATTTTGTATATACATATTTTTTTAATATAGAACTGAACTCATTATTTTTTAAGTTTGTTTAACAATATTAGTTTCTAAGAATTATCAACAATTGAAAATTAGTTTTAGTAATTCAAATAATTAACAATAAAACAAACTTCTATTATAACAATATAAACATAATTAATGTGTAGTTATAAAGAAAAAATAAAATAAAATCTAAAATTCAAAATTATATTAAATTCGAATTTTTGTTACTTTATTATAAAAGGCAATATTTTAAAGGAACTTCACATTTTTTTATTACAAAAAAAAATATTCTCTTTTCCCCAATAACTGTTATTTCAATTTATAAACAACCCGCTGCTCTCTACTTTCTTTTATTTAGCTTTCCATCTAGCAACGAATTCTCCAATAAAAGAAATCAAAAATAACCTTTCTATCGGCTGATTTATTTATATTATTTTAAGTAAATTAATTAATAAATCAATACTACTTGTTTATTATTTTTATGACAAATATAGAATATTTAAAATTAAAATACTAAAAACATATGAACAAATCGAGCAGACAAATATTCGAAAACTCCCCAAATTATAATACGATTTTTTTAAAATAATAATAATTATTATGACTAGAATAAACAACCATTGTAAAATACTAAATAAAATTCAAGTTTATTTTAAGAAAATAACTAATAAAATTACTTTAATATATAAATATATAATTCTGCATTAAATCATGTTTTTCATTTTCTTTGTTTTTTTTTTTTCATTTAATTTTTATTAGTTTTTATATATTTTTCATTACAAAGTATTTTCCGGGATGTCGTGATGAATTCTAATGAAATAAGTGTGGGCAATGGAAAAATGTTTTAAGACTGTCGATTTGGGCGTCCGGGCAATCCATTAATTTTAAGAAACAGTGCCACTAACTTTAGCAGGTTATCTAAGAATTAGGAGGAAATAGCTGAAAGAAAAAAGGCATTTTTAAAATCCATTTCCTATTTTGATGCACGCCTGTTCGCCCTTTATCTTATTTACCTTAAGAACAATTCCTAATGTAAGAAAAATATTAATACAGGGTGAGATAAAAAACTGTAACAATAATAATAATTATTTATTATTTTAATTTTAGAATAAGTTTAGATTTGCTCGAATTGGTTACCTTTGGCACGAATTATGGCCTTCAAATGGCCAATGAAACCGTCACACGCAGACACAATACCAACGGATTGGTATCCGGTGATTTTGGCCATTGTGGGCTGGCAATGAAGCGAGGAACCGCATTTTGTAACCATTCTTGGGTGGCGCGTGCTGAGTGCGATGGTGCTGAGTCATGTTGGAATGTAAAAGGTCTGCGGCTAAAATGTTTGAGTGTCCAAGGCTTTAATACACCCTCCAGACTATTTTCGCGATAATATTCGGCATTTATTTTGATGCCACGGTCGAGAACGACCATCGGCTGTTATGGCCGGCGAATGAGTTCTGGTGGACAACCGAAGGTGCACATTTTCAGCTGACCTCTTTGGCAAGTAAACACGATCACTTTGTTTCTTGGCAAACTGCTGGACAATGAATGTTTTCTCATCGGAGACAACCAAATTCGGCAGTTCACCACTTTCGGCCAAGCAACTGGCGAAACAGCTCTTTTGGGTGTATTTATTTCTGTTTCGGTATAAGTTCTTGCACTTTTTGGAATTTAATTGGCTTTACCCCGAGCTCATTTTTCAATATTTGCCGAATGGAAAATTGCGATATGTTCAGTTCTGCAACGCGGGTTTCGACCAAGCCAAGTAAAGACTTTTTGAACCGTTTCTGTTGATGTTGCTGTTTTCTTCCCCCCCCATTTCCTTGATGTCGGGCTGCGGTACCAGTATCACGGTAACG